TAATCCTTCACCTAGCAACAGTTAATCCAGTGGCATCACAGAGGACCACTTTGCCTAGCAACAGCCAATCCACCTAGCAATAGTAAATCCCGTGACTTCACGTAAGGCCACTTTGCCTAGTAACAACCAATCCTTCACCTGGCAACAGCCAATCCAGAACATCACAGAGAGACACTTTACCTAGCAACACCCAATCCTTCACCTAGCAACAGCCAATCACATGACATCACAGAAGGCCATTTTGCCTAGCAACAGTTAATCCAGTGACATCACAGAGGGCCACTTTGCCTAGCAACAGCCAATCCTTCACCTAGCAACAGCCAATCACATGACATCACAGAAGGCCATTTTGCCTAGCAACAGTTAATCCAGTGACATCACAGAGGGCCACTTTGCCTAGCAACAGCCAATCCTTCACCTAGCAACAGCCAATCCAGTGACATCACAGAGGGCCACTTTACCTAGCCACAGTTAATCCAGTGACTTCACTGAGGAACACTTTACCTAGCAACAGCCAATCCACCTAGCAACAGTAACTCCAGTGACATCACAGAGGGCCACTTTGCCTAGCAACAGCCAATCCTTCACCTAGCAACAGCCAATCCAGAAACATCACAGAGAGCCACTTTACCTAGCAACACCCAATGCTTCACCTAGCAACAGCCAATCACATGACATCACAGAAGGCCACTTTGTCTTGCAACAGTTAATCCAGTGACATCACAGAGGGCCACTTTGCCTAGCAACAGCCAATCCCATGACACCACAGAAGGCCACTTTGCCTAGCAACAGTTAATCCAGTGACATCACAGGGGGCCACTTTGCCTAGCAACAGCCAATCCTTCACCTAGCAACAGCCAATCCAGAAACATCACAGAGAGACACTTTACCTAGCAACACCCAATCCTTCACCTAGCAACAGCCAATCACATGACATCACAGAAGGCCATTTTGCCTAGCAACAGTTAATCCAGTGACATCACAGAGGGCCACTTTGCCTAGCAACAGCCAATCCACCTAGCAATAGTTAATCCCATGACTTCACAGAAGGTCACTTTACCTAGCAACAGCCAATCCTTCACCTAGCAACAGCCAATCCAGAAACATCACAGAGAGCCACTTTACCTAGCAACAGCCAATCCTTCACCTAACAACAGCGAATCCCATGACATCACAGAAGGCCACTTTGCCTAGCAACAGTTAATCCAGTGACATCACAGAAGGCCACTTTCCCTAGCAACAGCCAATCCTTCACCTAGCAACAGTTAATCCAGTGACATCACAGAAGGCCACTTTCCCTAGCAACAGCCAATCCTTCACCTAGCAACAGCCAATCCAGTGACATCACAGAAGGCCACTGCACCTAATGACAGACTTTGGGGTACAAACTGACATCCATCCATACATAAACTTTAAAATGCATATATATAGAAGATGTGCACACACACACACATATATATATATACACACACACACACACTTTGTAATCTGTGAAAAGTCATGTTTAAATCCAAATAGGTTGCAGCCGTCCTTTAATATTGCAGGAAATTGGATGCTCTCGTGAAGTAAAGAAGGAGAGATACAAAGAAGAAGAAGGAGAAAGGGAGGAGTGGACGACCCAGAGAGCAAAGTCCTCATTGGGTTCCAGCAAACTGAACTTGACCCACAAAATAAGTATTTCGATATTTCAACACAGTGTCAGCCCACAGTCGCCTCCCAACCTACAATAGTCAAGAACTAGAGCTTGCAATGTATAACACATTAACTTCAAGGCGCAAACAATATCATTTCTTTGCAACATAGAGTAATAACATCACCTTCCAACGTAGCACTCTTTTTCTTTCTTTTTTGCAAAACAGTAAAGTAGGATCATTAGTAGAGCCTTGTGTACAATAAGTAGAATTCTTTAATTGCTTCTCAACGTGTTTGGGTTGAGTGGGAGAATTTGGACTATTTCTGTATTTGCAAATATGGAGGCATCTACTCACATCAACATACAAATGTAACACAAAACTCTTCAACCGAAAACCAACAGCAACAAGTTACTCTTTAAAGGTAACAGCCAACAAATAATAAATTCCTTTTCAAAAGATGTGGTTCAAAGTCCAGTCCAGGATTCTGAGCTGGGAGGATGAGACAGACAGACAGACAGACAGACAGACAGACAGACAGATAATAGAAGGGGCAGAGAGAGAGAGATAATAGATAGATGATAGACAGATAGATAGATAGATAGATAGATAGATAGATAGATAGATAGTAAAATGATAGAGGATAGATAGAGAGATAGAAAGATACATACATACATAATAAAATGATAGAGAGAGTAGGTAGATAAATAGAAAGAAAGAAAGATAATAGAATGATAGGGAGGATAGATGATAGTAGCATGATAGAGAGAGGGGATAGATAGATAGATAGAATAGATAGATAGATAGATAGATAGAATGAGAAGGATATATAGATAATAGAATGATAGAGAGGATAGATGATAGAGAAGATAGATAGGTGATAGATGGTAATAGAATGATAGAGAGAGAAATGATAGAGAGGTTAGATGGATACATACATACATAATAAAATGATAGAGAGAGAGGGTAAGTAGATAAATAGAAAGATAGACAGATATATAGATAATAGAATGATAGAGAGAGGGGATAGATAGCTAGATAGATAGATAGATAGATAGATAGATAGATAGATAGATAGATAGATAGATAGACAGATAGAGTAGACAGACGTAAAGATATATAGATAATAGAACAATAGAGAGGGGGGTAGATAGGTAGGTAGGTAGAGTAGAGTAGAGTAGAGTAGATAGACATAATCTATAATAATATAATATAGGTAATAGAATGATAGAGAGGATAGATAGATAGATAGATAGATAGATAATAGAATGAGAGAGAGAGAAGAGATAGATAGATAGATAGATAGATAGATAGATAGATAGATAGATAGGAGAGAGAGGACAGATAGATAGATGGATACATACATACATACATACATACATACATAAAATGATAGAGAGAGAGGGTAGGTAGATAAATAGAAAGATAGACAGATACATAGATAATAGAATGATAGGGAGGATAAAAGATAGATAAGAGAATGATAGAGAGAGGGGATAGATAGATAGATAGATAGATAGATAAATAGATAGATAGATGATAGAGAGATACAGTAGATAGAAAGATATATAGATAATAGAATGATAGAGAAGATAGATAGATAGATAGATAGATAGATAGATAGATAGATAGATAATAGAAGGATATAGAGAGAGGACAGAGAAAGAGAAATGATAAAGAGAGAGGATAGATGGATACATACATAATAAAATGATAGAGAGAGAGGGTAGGTAAATAAATAGAAAGATAGACAGATATAGATAATAGAATGATAGGGAGGATAAAAGATAGATAGATAGATAGATAGATAGATAGATAACAGAGAGATAGAGATGGGGTAAATAGATAGATAGATAACAGAGAGATAGAGATGGGGTAGATAGATAGATAGATAGATAGATAGATAGATAGATAGATAGATTGATAGATAACAGAGAGATAGAGATGGGGTAAATAGATAGATAGATAGATAGATAGATAGATAGATAAGATAATAGAATGATAGCGAGAGAGGATAGATAGATAAATAGATAATAAGATAGATAGATAGATAGATACATAGATAATAGAATGATAGAGGGAGGGAGGGAGGGAGGGAGGGAGGGAGGGAGGGAAGGTGGGAGGGAGAGAAACAGATAGATAGATAGATAGATAGATAGATAGATAGATAGATGATAACCACTTCCCCTGTCACAAACACAAACTTCCATGAACCCCAAGGGGACACATTTGGAACAACTCAAAATCCAACACAATTACTATTTTCTCTGTATTTTCTCTACACATTCAGACTGTTTTTCGTTGACTCCTACAACCAAACACATACACCTTTTTCTAATCCAAGTGCCTTCCTCTTGCGCTTTGCCCCTCCCAGCTCTATTTTAGAGTACAACAAATCAAGCATTGGGTTGTGGTGGATTTTCCGGATGTCTGGCCACGTTCCAGAAGCCTTTATCTATTACTGTACTTTGCATTATTTTATTGTACTCTTATGTTTTATTTACTTTATTGCGATGTTTATTTTGTGTTTTCGGTTTAATTTTGTTGTCATGCATTTCTGGGCTTGGCCTCATTGGGGAGATGGTGACGGCGTATAAATAAAGTTATTATTATTATTATTATTATTATTATTATTATTATTATTATTATTCTCTCCTGACATTTCACCTGCATCTATGGCAGGCATCCTCCGAGGTTGTGAGGTTGAGAAACTGCAAGTCTCTTCTGGTGTGAGAGAATTGGCCGACTGCAAGGACGTTGCCCAGGAACGCCCGGATGATTTGATGTTTTTATCATCCTTGTGGGAGGCTTCTCTAATGTCCCCGCATGAGGAGCTGGAGCTGATAGAGGGAGCTCATCCGCCTCTCCTCAGATTCGAACCTGCGACCTGTCGGTCTTCAGTCCTGCCGGCACAGGGGTTTAACCCACTGCACCACCGAGGGCTGCCATTGATGTGGGTGAAACGTCAGGAGAAAATGCTTCTGGAACATGGTGACACACAACAACCCAGTGATTCTGGCCATAATAAAGCAAGCATTTCTCCATATTCTGTCTCCAAGAAACCCATGGAAAGCCTGTATGTCATTTTCAGGAGAGCGCTTCGTATTCAGAAAGGAAACACTGAGCCATCTGGGTACGGTTCACCAACATTCGGCTCCCCAAAATGCAAAGTCCACAAAAAGTTGACTATTACAGGCAACAAGAGAAAGGTCTTTCGTCGTCGGCTTTGCTATAAAACCTTAAGAGCTTCACGTCCTTATCCTCACCTCTCCGATAACAGTAAGCATGAAAAGCCGCTGAGCTCTCCTCAATTTTACTAAGGCGTTTACAGAAGGGGAGAAAAAAAGGAGGGCAAGAAAAATCACTTACCCGGTAAGGACAACCACAAAATCCATCACGTTCCAGCCGTTTCGGAGATAAGAGCCTTTGTGAAAGACAAAGCCCAGCGCAATGATTTTGATGCCCGCTTCAAAGCAAAATATTCCAATAAAGTATGGCTCGGTGTCATCCTGAAAAGATACAAAGGATGAGAAGGAGGAGATATTAAGGGGTTGTTCATTGAAGGCAGTTCCTAAACACCTATGCAAACGACGGTTGGCCTGAGGTGCATCTGCACTGTAGAATTAATGCACATTTGGCACCTGAAATGGCTCAAGGCTATAGAATCATGGGAATTGCAAGTCGATGAGGCATCGGCACTCAGAGAAGACTCAAAACTACAATTCCGATAATTTCAAGTTAATATGTTGTTGAAACGTTTCATGACCGGAATCTGAGTTGTCCGGGCTGTCTGGCCATATTCTAGAAGCACTCTCTCCTGACATTTCACCCACATCTATGGCAGGCATCCTCAAAAGTTGTGAATACTGTTGGAAACGAGGCAAGTGGGGTTTATTTACCTACTAGCCGTCACCTGCCACACGTTGCTGTGGCCCAGTATATATATATATGTGTGTATGTGTGTATATATATTTGTGTATATGTGTATATATGTGGTTTTGTGTATGTGTTGTAATATATTTTTTGGCTTTTTAAGTCTCTTCTGCTGTGTTTTTCAGTGTTTTTATGAGTGATGGTCACTCGTTGGCCTGATAGGTGTATTGTGTCCAAATTTGGTGTCAATTCGTCCAGTGGTTTTTGAGTTCTGTTAATCCCACAAACGAACATTACATTTTTATTTATATAGACTAGCCGTCCCCTGCCACGCGTTGCTGTGGCCCAGTCTGTGTATATGTGTTTTGTGTGTGTATATATGTGTGTGTATATATTTGTGTATGTGTGTATATGTGTGGTTTTGTGCATGCATTGTAATGTATTTTTTTTATTTTTTGGCTTTTTAAGTCTCTTCTACTGTGGTTTTCAGTTCTAGGGTTATGTTAATCCCACAAATGAGCATTACATTTTTATTTATATACTAGCTGTCCCCTACCACGTGTTGCTGTGGCACAGTCTATATGTATGTGTGTGTATATGTGTGTGTATTTGTGTATGTGTGTATATATGTGTTTGTGTATTTTTATGTTGTTTTGCACATGTGTTATAATGTATTTTTTTATTTTTTTATTTTTGCTGTTTCAGTTTCTTCTGAAGTGTTTTTCAGTGTTTTTATGAGTGATGGTCACTTATTGACCTGATAGATGTATTGTATCCAAATTTAGTGTCAATTTGTCCAGTGGTTTTTGAGTTACGTTAATCCCACAAATGAACATTACCTTTTTATTTATATACTAGCTGTACCCACCACATGTTGCTGTGGCCAACCTTTCCTCTTCTCTCCTTCTTTCCCTCCTTCCTTTACTCCCTCTTTCCTTCCTTCCTTCCTTCCTTCCTTCCTTCCTTCCTTCCTTCCTTCCCGTCTTTCCTTCTCTTCTTCCTTCTCTATCTCTTTCCTTCTTTCTCCCTTTCTTTCTCTTTTTTCTTCCTTCTCTCTTTCCTTCTTTTCTTCCCTCCCTCTTTCTCTACATCTTCCCCCCTTCCTTCGCTCCCTCTTTCCTTCCTTCTTTCCCTTTTTCTTTCCTTCTCTCCTTCCTTCCTTCTCTAACTTTCCTTCCTTCCCCCTTTTTTTTCCCTCCCTCTTTCTCTCCTTTCTTCCTTCTCTACCTCTTTCCTTCCTTCTCTCTTTGCTTCCATGCTTCCTTCTCCCTTTCCTTCTTTCTTTCCCTCCTATTTCTTTTTTCTTTCTTTCTTTTTCTCCCCTTCCCTCCCTCTTTCTTCTTTTTTCTGTATTGCCATTTAGCTTTTCATCATTTAGCTTTTAGGGGATTTTAAAGTCCCTTCTGTTGTGTTTTTCAGTGTTTTTATGAGTGAAGGACACACATTGGGTTGTTAGGTGTATGTTGTCCAAATTTGGGGTCAATTTCCCCAGTGGTTTTTGTGTTCTGTTAATTCCACAAATGAACATTACATTTGTATTTATATAGACTAGCTGTCCCCTGCCATATGTTGCTGTGGCCCAGTCTGTGTATATGTGTTTTGTGTATGTATATGTGTGTGTATATATTTCTGTATATGTTTATATATGTGTTTGTATATATGTGTGTGGTTTTGTGCATGAGTTGTAATGTATTTTTGTTTGTTTGTTTTGCTTTTTAAGTCTCTTCTGCTGTGTTTTTCAGTGTTTTATGAGTGATGGTCACTTGTTGGCCTGATAGGTGTATTGTGTCCAAATTTGGTGTCAATTCATCCAGTGGTTTTTGAGTTATGTTAATCCCACAAACCAACATTATATTTTTATTTATATAAAAGATGGAATGTCCAAGGTGGTAGAAAGAACTCTTGTCTGTTTGAGTCAAGTGTGAGTGTTGCAATTGGCCACCTTGATTAGCATTGAATAGCCTTGCAGCTTCAAACCCTGGCTGTTTCCTGCCCCAGGGAAATCCTTTTGTAAACAGCCATAAGTCACCCTCGGGCTGAGAATGGCGGTATAGAAGCATAGTAAATTAAATAAATAAATAAAATAAATTTGTTGGGAGGTGTTAGCTGGCCCTGATTTTTTCTAGTCTGGAATTCCCCCAGGCAGGAAGCAGCCAGGCTGTGATGCTGCAGGGCCATTCAATGCTGATTAAGCTGGCTAATTGCAACATTCACAGTTGCATAACACAGACAAGAGTTCTTTCTTCCACCCTGGATATTATTCGACAGATACATAAACCCCACTTGCCTAGTTTCCAACAGACCTGACAACCTCTGAAGATGCCTGCAATAGATGTGGGCAAAATGTCAGGAGGGAATGCTTCTGGAACATGGCCAGACAGCCCGGAAAACTCACAACAACCCAGCGATTTCAAATTAGTTAAAGTGGTATCAAACTGCACTGTATAGATGCACCCTTGTTTCTGCACATATGCTGTCATCTCACACAATGATGGTCAAAGCACATCACAAAGGATCCAGAAATTGATGCTTCGAAATGCATCCAAGTTTCTAGAAACTCAATAGTGTTCACTACTATCGGTTCCCAAAATATGTTTTCTCGGATTCCTGTTCGGTTGAGGTGTGTTGCGCAAAGAGAGACTTGGGTGGGGGGGTTAAGCGGAGTTAATACGAGCGGCTGCACAGAGAGCCTGGGGTTAGGATCCCGAATCGGAGCCATTAGCCGAGTGAAAAAGCTGTCAAGTTCAATAAGGGAGAGGCCTGCTCTGCCCTGCCGCCACGTCAGAAGCATCCGCAAAAGCAAGGCAAAGGGAGCCTCGGGACGACAAGCAGCACATCCTTGCACACAAGAGGAACCTGCAGGAATCAGTTACATCCAGGGCCATGTGCTTCGGCTTCTTCTCCTCTGCCAATGCGGCAGGAGAGACACCCCAAAAGCCATCCTTAGAGGCCAAAGGATACATTTCACCAGTCAGCATCCACTACAGGGAGTGGAAATCGACCCTCTAATTCAGGCATGGTCAAACCCAGGCCCGCGGGCCGGATGCGGCCCCTTGGGCTCTTTTCTCAGGCCTTCCTCTCTCTCACCAGCCTATCCTTCCTCCCTTCTCTCTTTCCTTCCTCCTTCCATCCTTCCCTTCCTTCCTTACCTCCCTCTTTCTCCCTCCTTCTTTCCCACCCTTTCATCCTTCCTCTCTTCCTCTCCTCCTTCCCTTTTCCTTCCCCTCTTTCTCCTTCTCCTTTCTTCCCACCCTTTCGTCTTCCTTCCCTTTTTCCTTCCTCCTTCCATCCTTCCCTTCCTTCCTTACCTCCCTTTTTCTCCCCTCCTCATCCTTCCCACCCTTTTGTCCTCTTCTCTTTTTCTTCCTCCTCCCTTTTCTTACCTCCCTCTTTCTCCTTCCTCCTTCCTTCCCCACCCTTCTCTTCCTTCTCTATTTCCTTCCTCCTTCCATCGTTCCCTTCCTTCCTTACCTCCCCTTTTTCTCCCTCCCTCCATCCTTCCACTCTTTCATCCTTCCTCTCTTTTTTCCTTCCCTTCCCCTTCTTCTTCTTTCCCTCTTTCTCCTTCTCTCCTTCCTTCCCACCCGTTCGTCCTTCCTTCTCTTTTACCTTCCCTTCCTTCCTTATCTCCCTCTTTCTTCTTCCTTCCTTCCCACCCTTTCATCCTGCCTTCCCAATTTCCTTCCTCCTTCCATTGTTCCCTTCCTTACTTACCACCCTTTTTCTTCCTCCTTCCTCCTTCCCACTCTTTCATCCTTCCTTCTCTCTTTTTCCTTCCTCCTTCTCCTTCCCTTCCTTCCTTTCCTCCCTCTTTCTTCCTCCTTCCTTCCCCTTTTTTCCTCCCTCCTTTCATCCTTCCCTTCCTTACCTCCCTTTTTCTTCCTCCCTCCATCCTTCCCAATCTTTCATCCTTCCTTCTCTTTTCCTTCCTCTTTCCCTTACTTCCTTCCCTACCTCTTTCTCCTTCCCTCCTTCCTTCCCACCCATTCGTCCTTCCTTCTCTTTTTCCTTCCTCCTTCCATCCTTCTCTTCCTTCCCTCCTTCTTCCCTTCCTTTTTCTTTCCCTTCCCACCCTTTCGTCCTTCCTTCTCTTTTTCCTTCCTCCGTCCCTTTCTTCCCTCCCTCTTTCTCCTTCCCTCCTTCCTTCCCTTCCACCCTGTCATTCTTCCTTCCTTCCTTCTTTCCTCCCTCCTTACCTGCTACCCTTTCCTCCCTCTTCCTCCTTTCATGAAAATGAACAAAATCTGGCTGCCAGTATTTAAAAACTCTAAAATCAGAACAGTAGATAAAGAACAACACTCAGAAAACAGAGGAATTCCAGACATGGAACAATCTGGCCCAACTAACACCTCCCAACAAAGGATTTCCCCAGACAGGAAGAAGCCAAGCTTTGAAGCTGCACGGCCATTAAATGTCAATCAAGGTGTACATTTCATAAAATCATAGAATCATAGAGTGGGAAGAGATCTCATGGGCCATCCAGTCCAACCCCATTCTGCCAAGAAGCAGGAATATTGCATTCAAATCATCCCTGACAGGTGGCCACCCAACCTCTGTTTAAAAGCTTCCAAAGAAAGAGCCTCCACCACACTCCAGGGCAGAGAGTTCCACTGCTGAACGGCTCTCACAGTCAGGAAGTTCTTCCTCATGTTCAGATGGTAGAAGAACTTCCTAACTGTGAGAGCCGTTCAGCAGTGGAACTCTCTGACCCAGAGTGTGGTGGAGGCTCCATCTTTGCAGCATTCACACTTGCCTCAGGCAGACAAGAGTTCTTTCTCCCACCCTGGACATCATTCCACAGGTACATAAACCTCACTTGCCTCATTTCCAACAGACCTCACAACCTCTGAGGATGCCTGCCATAGATGGAGGTGAAACGTCAGGAGAGAATGCTTCTGAAACATGGCCAGACAGCAATCTATTAATTCTGGCCATGAAAGCCTTCAACAACACTTTACATTATTCTATGTAAAGGTTCTATGTTTCTGCATCGCAATAGGGCTGGACTAGATGACCTTTGGGGTTCCGTCCAGTTCTTTGATTCTATAGAAGATCCCTTTCTTGAAGCGCTCCTCTCTCCTGTCTTTCATTTACAGAAAAGCATATTTTCATAGCGATAGCAGCTGCCGCTCTGCAGTTTCAACCTCGGCGGGATATTGCTGGCATGCTCCGAGCCTGGCTATTGACCTGAGCAGGGAATTTATGACTCATCGACTCAGTCGGGAAAGTCATGATCCCAAACCCCTGGGATGGACAAATCTGTTTCCCTTTCTCCCGCATTCAAATGTTGCAAATGTTAGCAAATTCCAACCTGGATAATGACAAAAATTCCCCACCTTGCAAGGTCACCAACCCTACCGAATGAAGGATGCTGGGCTCTATAGTCCCCAAAAGGACATTAATAATGTATTATTATTATTATTATTATTATTATTCTTACACGTACTTATAAATAACTGTTTATATTTTCCATACACTTGTGTTACATTCTATATCACAAGTTCATGACTGCATGCAACAACAAATAAGATATCAAGCGTCTGGAGAACAAGCCCTATGAGGAGTGGTTTAAAGAGTTTGACACATTTAGCCTGAAGAAGAGAAGGCTGAGAGGAGACATGATAGCCATGTATAAATACGTGAGAGGAAGTCATAGGGAGGAGAGGGCGAGCTTGTTTTTTGGTGCTCTGGAGGCTAGGACGCAATGGAGCAATGGAAAGGATATTCCACCTGAACATGAGGAAGAACTTCCTGACTATAAGAGCCGTTCAGCTGTGGAACTCTCTGCCCTGGAGTGTGGTGGAGGCTCCTTCTTTGGAGGCTTTGAAACAGAGGCTGGATGGCCATCTGTTGGGGGTGCTTTGAATGTGATTTTCCTGCTTCTTTGCAGAATGGGGTTGGATTGGATGGCCCATGAGGTCTCTTCCAACTCTATGATTGTATGAGTCTATATAGAAAGTAAACAACAATGTAAGCTTCCCAGAATATAATACAAACTTGTTTCATACAGATATGTGGCTTGGTTTTGTTTCCAAGATAACTACTCGGAACCAAAACCTGGTCAGGGTGAGCTCCTGGTGTATGTGCCCAGCTTCTGCCTACCTAGCAGTTTCGCAAACAGCAATGTGGGTAGGTAAATAGGTACTACTTAGCGGGGAGGTATTTAAGACACCCATAAGGAAATGCCAGAAAAATTTGCATGTTTTTGAACTGCTAGGTTGGCAGAAACTGGGACTAACAGCAGGCGCTCTTGCCGCTCCCCGGATTCGAACCGGCGACCTTTTGGTCAGCGAGTTCCACAGCTCAGCGCTTCAACCCACTGCAAATTAATATTTATGTATTTACAGTATTTATATGCCGCCCTTCTCACTCCGAAGGGGACTCAGAACAGACTAGAAGAGATATAGAAGATATATATATATATACACACACACACACACACAATATATCTATATATCTATATATATACACACACACATATACACACACACTATATATATATATATACACCCACACACTATATATATATATATCTATATATATATATATATATATATATATATATAGGTAGTGTATTATAATATACACACACACACACACACACACACAATATATTATATTGGTAGCATAGCACAACATCAGCATTATATATTACTATATTGTACTATGGAGCATAGTGGGTTAAACCACTGAGCTGCTGAACTTGTTGACCGAAAGGTTGCAGGTTTGAATCCTGGGAGCAGTATGAGCTTCCTCTGTCAGCCCCAGCTTCTTCTGAAGATCTACAGAGATACTCGCAGGAACATCTCAGCAAGCAAGAGTCCAAAAGTGGCAGGCTAAAAAACCGGAGCTTCAATCAGTGGCTGAGACTGGAGGAGAAACTGGGTGACTGCCAACCTAGCAGTTCAGAAACATGCAAATGTGAGTAGGAAGGTAACATGGTGTTCCATGCAGTCATGCAGGCCACATGACCTTGGAGGTGTCTATGGACAACGCCGGCTCTTCGGCTTAGAAATGGAGATGAGCACCAACCCCCAGAGTCGGATACGACTGGACTTAATGTCAGGGGAAAACCTTTATCTATTATTATTATTATTATTATTATTATTATTATTATTCCCAACACTTACCAGCCTCTCCGACATCGGGGTCTTGTCTCCATCCGGTAAATGTTGCTCCAAAGCCAGCACAATGCAGTTCGCGATAATGGTCGCCAAGATCATATACTCAAATGGAGTGGAGTCAACGGTTAAGGAAGAAAAGCGAAAGAGCTTCCCAACAGTAACATCAGCCATCATGAGGATTGATACAACTTTCATCAGCTTCCAGTCTATTCAGATACCATTCGTTTCCCAGGATCGTGAATCATCCTCTCTGTTCAAAGCACAAGCCTTGCAACACTCTCCAAACCAGCAAATCCCATTGGATCTTGGGTTAGCGGGGTGCTAACCAGGTGCTGAAGGCTATATTTCAGAGGAAGGCACTGGCTAAACCACTTGGAATCTTGGGAAGACAAGTGGAAGAAGCAAAGACTACCAGCATTGAAGCGATGGTCCTCCGCCATCAACTCCACTGGACCGGCTACATTGTCCGGATGCCCAGAATCTTGGAAAGACGAGCGGACAAATGTCAACATGCTGGAAGAAGCAAAGACCACCAGCATTGAAGCGATGGTCATCCGCCATCAACTCCGCTGTTGTCCGGATGCCCGACTACCGTCTCCCAAAACAGTTGCTCTATTCCGAACTCAAGAACGGAAAATTGGAAAGGAGATTTAAAGATGGGCTCAAAGCCAACCTTAAAAACTCTGGCATGGGCACTGAGAACTGGGAAGCCCTGGCCCTTGAGCGCTCCAGCTGGAGGTCAGCTGTGACCAGCAGTGCTGTAAAATTTGAAGAGGCACAAATGGAGGGCAAAAGAGAGAAATGTGCCAAGAGGAAGGCGCATCAAGCCAATCTCGACTGGGACTGCTTTCCACCTGGAAACCAATGCCCTCACTGCGGGAGGACATGCGGGTCCCACTGCCAGTACACCTATCTTGGAAGACAATCCTACTTGGACAATGAGAGATCGCCTAAGTAAGTTTCATAAACATAATGGATCTTAAACTCCAATTTAGAACTAAGCTATCCCCAAATGCTCCATTCAGAAAATTGGGAAGCCCTGGCTCTTGAGCGCTCCAGCTGGAAGTCAGCTGTGACCAGCAGTGCTGCAGAATTTGAAGAGGCACGAATGGAGGGCGAAAGAGAGAAACGTGCCAAGAGGAAGGCGCGTCAAGCCAACCTTGACCGGGAACGCCTTCCACCTGGAAACCAATGCCCTCACTATGGGAGAAGATGCAAATCAAGAATAGGGCTCCACAGTCACCTACGGACTCACCCCTGGGATACTACACTTGGAGGACCATCATCCTCGGACTATGAGGGATCGCCTAAGTAAGTAAGTTTGGAATCATACAATCATATTACTCGTATACAATCATAGAATCCATATAAGGATCTAGAGAGACTTATCCTGCAAAGAATTATGGGGGTGAAATAGACCCATTTATGATCCCAGAGCAAGCTGGTTTCAGGGAAGGCAAAAGCTGCACATCACAAGTGCTGAACCTGACTCAGCACGTAGAAGATGATTTTGAAAGAAAGCAGATTACAGGAGCTGCCTTCAAAGACCTGTCAGCAGCCCATGATACTGTAAGTTATAACCTCCTCCAGAAAAATAATGTATAATATCACAAAATATTGCCCCCTCGCCTGCTTCATAGGAAAACTGCTACAAAACAGGAGCTTTTTTGTTGAGTTCCAGGTTCAGAGATGTAGATGGCAAAAACAGAACAACGGCCTGCCTCATGGGAGTGTGCTTGCTCCATCTATGTTCAACATTAACACAGATGACCAGCCACTGCCAGAAGGGACAGAGAGTTTCATCTATGCTGACGATCGTGCCATCGCCACCCAAGCAGGGAGCTTTGAAATGGTTGAACAGAAGCTTTCCAAAGCTTTAGGTGCTCTTACAACCTAATACAGGGAAGACCAGTGTTCCTAATCTATCTAAAACACAGATATGTGCTTTTCATCTTAAGAACAAACAAGCATCTTGAGCTCTGGGGATTACCTGGGAAGGAATCCCACTGGAGCATTGCAGCACACCCAAATACATGGGAGTTACCCTAAACCGTTCTCTGATCTAAAAGAAGCACTGCCTGAATATCAAGCAAAAAGTGGGAGCCAGAAATAATAATATACAAAAGCTGCCTGGCACAACCTGGGGATCACAACCAGACACAGTGAAGACATCTGCCCTTGGTCTTTGCTACTCCACTGGTGAGATGCATTCCCAGTGTGGAATACATCTCACCACGCTAAAACAGTAGATGTGGCTCTTAATGAGACACGACTCATTATCACAGGATGGCTACACTATACACCGCTGGAGTAATTATACTGCATTCGCCAGTATTAAACTACCTGACATCCGTTGGGAAGGAGCAGCCTGTAATAAAAGGACCAAGGCATTGATATTTCCCGCACATCCTCTATTCTGATATCAGCTAGCACGCCAACGTCTAAAATCAAGAAACAACTTCCAAAGATCTACAGAGATACTCGCAGGAACATCTCAGCAAGAAAGAGTCCAAAAGTGGCAGGCTAAAACCTGGAACCTCAATCAGTGGCTGAGACTGGAGAAGAAACTCCCTTCTAGGCATGCAGAAGACTGGGCGACTTGGAAGGCGCTGAACAGACTGCGCTTTGGCATCAGCCATGAAGGCCTTTGACAGTACATTATTATTATTATTATTATTATTATTATTATTATTATTATTTTACTGACACAAAAACACAGTATGTCACAGCAAATGAGATCTCTATGCTGGATTTGTATCAAAAAATCACAAGTCAAACACTTCCCAAGCGTCTAGGACTATGTGATGTATTTTCGAATGATGCGTGCAGATCCAAATAAGGTGGCCTTTTGCAATTGACAGAGAGTGATTTTGTCAATGTTTATTGTTTCCAAATGCCGGCTGAGATCTTTTGGCACGTCACCCAGTGTGCCGATGACCACTGGGATCACCTGTACTGGTTTATGCCAGAGCCTTTGCAGTTCTATTATCATTATTATTATTATTACTATTATTATTATTACTATTATTATTATTATTTTATATTGTTATTATATTGTTGGAAGCCCCCAGTGGTGCAGTGGGTTAAACCCCTGTGCCAGCAGGATTGAAGACCAACAGGTCGCAGGTTCGAATCCGGGGAGAGGCGGATGAGCTCCCTCTATCAGCTCCAGCTCCTCATGCGGGGACATGAGAAAAGCCTCCCACAAGGATGATAAAAACATCAAATCATCCAGGCGTCCCCTGGGCAACGTCCTTGCAGGCGGCCAATTCTCTCACACCAGAAGCGACTCCTGACACGACAAAAAATATTGGAGCCCCCGGTGGTGCAGTGGGTTAAACCCCTGTGCTGGCAGGACTGAGCTCCCTCTATCAGCTCCAGCTCCTCATGGGGACATGAGAGAAGCCTCCCACAAGGATGATAAAAACATCAAATCAGGCGTCCCCTGGGCAACGTCCTTGCAGACGGCCAATTCTCTCACACCAGAAGCGACTTGCAGTTTCTCAAGTCGCTCCTGACACGACAAATTATTATTAGTATTATTATTAATAATAATAATAATAATAATAATAATATATTATTATACTATATTATTATATATTATTATTATATATTGTTATATATTTATATTTATATTATTATATTATTTTATATTATTATTGTTGTTGTTATTATTATTATTATTATTATTATTGGAGCCCCCGGTGGCGCAGTGGGTTAAACCCCTGTGCTGGCAGGACTGAAGACCGACAGGTTGCAGGTTCAAATCCAGGGAGAGGCGGATGAGCTCCCTCTATCAGCTCCAGCTCCTCATGCGGGGACATGAGAGAAGCCTCCCACAAGGATGATAAAAACATCAAATCATCTGGGCGTCCCCTGGGCAACGTCCTTGCAGAAGGCGAATTCTCTCACACCAGAAGCGACTTGCAGTTTCTCAAGTCGCTCCTGACACGACAAATTATTATTATTATTATTATTATTATTATTATTATTATTAATAATATATTATTATTATACTATATTATTATATATTATTATTATATATTGTTATATATTTATATTTATATTATTATATTATTTTATATTATTATTGTTGTTATTATTATTATTATTATTATTATTATTGGAGCCCCCGGTGGTGCAGTGGGTTAAACCCCTGTGCTGGCAAGACTGAAGACCGACAGGTTGCAGGTTCAAATCCAGGGAGAGGCGGATGAGCTCCCTCTAACAGCTCCAGCTCCTCATGCGGGGACATGAGAGAAACCTCCCACAAGGATGATAAAACATCAAATCATCTGGGCGTCCCCTGGGCAACGTCCTTGCAGACGGCCAATTCTCTCACACCAGAAGCGACTTGCAGTTTCTCAGTCGCTCCTGACACGACAAAAAATATTATTATTATTATTATTATTATTATTATTATTATTATTTCAAGCCAAGGCTCAGGTGTCAGGAAAGTGCTTCGGCACCATGGATAGCAGATGTGACTTTCAATCCATGCACCCGTTGGCCTTCATAGGCAGACTAAAACACTAGCGCATACTCAGGTTTCCACAAAATTGCTGCACTGGGGCAGCTTCCTTGGCAGACATCATTGGTGTGTCACCACCAGATCCCACCTGAAGCTTCCCAGAAGCAAGCGATGCTCCCATTTTATCAGTGTGGGAAGCAGAGTCAACCACAACCTTGTAAAACACCACGTCTTCGCGGCTACGGGGTCTTTGTGCTGTTGGCTCACCCCAAATATGGCTATCGCCGTCCCTATGCTTACAGGCTGAGGCCTCCTCCACTCCCAATGCCTTTCGTAATGCTCGCACAGACAGCCATCCGCCCATCCGCTGATTCTATTTACCCTCTCCATGCGCTCCCTCCCTTCCTCCCTGCGCACACATTGCTTCAGCCGTGTGCTGTGTTGCTAAGAGCAGGCCTGGTTGCTGGTTATTAGCTGTGTGATTCCAGATCAAAAGAAAACAACAGGCATCCCCCTTGGGAAGGCGGCTGGTGCGCTCCTGACACTGGCAAGAACCAGTTAATGTGCATGTATATATACACACACACACACAGAGGACTAGCAACACAACCATTCGCTCCTCTGGGAAGAGCCGTGATCGT